TAAGTGCAGATAGGTACAGGTACAGGTACAGGTACAGGTACAGGTACAGTACAGGTACAGAGGTACAGGTACAGGTACAGGTACAGGTACAGGTATAGGTATAGGTATGTACAGGTACAGGTACAGGTACAGGTATGTACAGGTACAGGTACAGGTATAGGTACAGGTACAGGTGCATAGGTACAGGTACAGGTACAGGTACAAGTATGGATATAGGTATAGGTACAGGTACAGGTATAGTACAGGTACAGGTACAGGTACAGGTACAGGTATAGGTACAGGTACAGGTATAGTGTATGTACAGGTACAGGTACAGGTATAGGTACAAGTATGGATATAGGTATAGGTACAGGTACAGGTATAGGTACAGGTACAGGTACAGGTACAGGTACAGGTACAGGTACAGGTACAGGTACAAGTATGGATATAGGTACAGGTACAGGTACAGGTACAGGTACAGGTACAGGTACAGGTATAGGTACAGGTATACAGGTCAGGTACAGGTACAGGTACAGGTACAGGTATGTGGATATAGGTACAGGTGCAGGTACAGCAGGTACAGGTACAGGTACAGGTACAGGTACAGGTACAGGTACAGGTACAGGTACAGGTACAGGTACAAGTATGGGATATAGGTACAGGTACAGGTACAGGTACAGTACACAGGTACAGGTACAGGTACAAGTATGATATAGTATAGGTAGCAGGTACAGGTATAGGTATAGGTACAGGTACAGGTACAGGTACAGGTATAGGTACAGGTAAGGTATAGGTACAGGAATAGGTACAGGTATAGGTACAGGTACAAGTATGATATAGGTATAGGTACAGGTACAGGTATAGGTACAGGTACAGGTACAGGTATAGGTACAGGTACAGGTACAGGTACAGGTATAGGGTACAGGTACAGGTACAGGTATAGGTATAGGTACAGGTACAGGTACAGGTATAGGTAGAGGTACAAGTATGGATAGGTATAGGTACAGGGTATAGGGAAAGCAGGTACAGGTACAGGTACAGGTACAGGTATAGGTACAGGTACAGGTATAGGTACAGGAATAGGCAGGTACAGGTACAGGTATAGTACACAGTGTACAGGTATAGGTACAATATGGTATAGGTATAGGTACAGGTGTGTACAGGTACAGGTATAGGTACAGGTGCAGGTATAGGTAGTGTACAGGTATAGGTACAGGTACAGGTATAGTACAGGTATAGCAGGTACAGGTATAGGGTACAGGAGTGTACAGGTACAGGTATAGGTACAGTGTACAGGTATAGGTACAGGTACAGTACAGGTACAGGTAGGTACAGGTACAGGTACAGGTACAGGTATAGGTGTGCAGTACAGGTACAGGTATAGGTACAGGTACAGGTACAGGTGGTACAGGTATAGGTACAGGTATAGGTACAGGTACAGGTATAGTGTAAGTACAGGCATAGGTATGTACAGGTATAGGTACAGGTATGTACAGGTACAGGTACAGGTACAGGTACAGGTACAGGTATAGTACAGGTACAGGTATAGGTACAGGTACAGGTACAGGTACAGGTACAGGTATAGGTGCAGTAGGTATAGGTACAGGTGTAGGTACAGGTATGTAAGGTATAGGTACAAGTATGGGTATAGGTATAGGTAGTGGTACAGGTACAGGTACAGGTATATACAGGTACAGGTACAGGTACAGGTATAGGTACAGGTACAGGTATAGGTACAGGTACAGGTATAGGTACAGGTACAGTATAAGTACAGGTACAGGTATAGGTACAGGTACAGTATAGGTATAGGTGGTATGGGTATAGGTATAGGCACAGGTACAGGTATAGGTACAGGTACAGGTATAGGTACAGGCACAGGTACAGGTACAGGTATAGGTACAGGTACAGGTACAGGTACAGTGGGCAGGTCTGGTATAGGTACAGGTGTACAGGATAGTATAGGTACAGGTACAGGTAGTATGTACAGGTACAGGTACAGGTACAGGTAGTATAGGTACAGGTACAGGTATAGGTACAGGTACAGGTACAGGTACAGGTATGCAGGTACAGGTACAGGTACAGGTATAGTACAGGTACAGGTACAAGTATGGATAGGTATAGGTGGTATAGGTACAGGTACAGGTACAGGTATAGGTACAGGTACAGGTACAGGTATAGGTATAGGTATAGGTACAGGTACAGGTACAGGTACAGGTACAGGTATAGGTACAGGTACAGGGTACAAGTATGGATATAGGTAGGTACAGGTACAGGTATAGTACAGGTACAGGTACAGGTACAGGTATAGGTACAAGTATGGTATAGGTATAGGTACAGGTACAGGCACAGGTACAGGTACAGGTATGTGTACAGGTATAGGTGTACAGGACAGGTATAGGTACAGGTACAGGTATAGGTACAGGTACAGGTACAGGTACAGGTATAGGTATGGGTACAGGACAGGTACAGGTACAGGTACAGGTACAGGCAAGTATGAGGTGTATAGTACAGGCAGGTACAGGTATAGGTACAGGTATGGTATAGGTACAGGTACAGGTACAGGTATAGGTACAGGTACAGGTACATGGTACAGGTATAGGTATATAGGTACAGGTACAGGTACAGGTATAGTGAAAAGCAAGTATATGGGATATAGGTATAGGTACAGGTACAGGTATAGTACAGGTACAGGTACAGGTACAGGTACAGGTATAGGTACAGGTATAGGTAGTAGGAATAGGTACAGGTATATGACAGGTATAGGTATAGGTACAGGTACAGGTACAGGTACAGGTATAGGTACAGGTATATATAGGTATAGGTACAGGTACAGGTACAGGTACAGGTATAGTACAGTGTACAGGCAGTATAGTATAGGTACAGGGTATAGGTACAGGTACAGGTACAGGCAGGTACAGGTATAGGTACAGGTATAGGTACAGGTACAGGTATAGGTACAGGTACAGGTACAGGTGTAGACAATATTGACCGTGGCCCCATCAGTGACTCCTGACCTAGAGACTCTCGAGGTCTGAGAAACGACAGATCGGAGGGCGGGGCGGAGGGTGGGCGGTGATGTGGGTGAGGTGGTGGGCGGGGGCGGGGGAGGGCGGGCTCATGGATTACTTTCCTTTTCGCTTAGCGGAGACGAGCGCCAGATCATTATAAAAGCAGGGCTGTGGCACCATCTTCCTGACACACCTGTGCCATCCTCCAGGCAGGTAAGACGCCCGCGGCATCCCAACAGTGTCAACCTCAGCTTGTGGCACCTGAGGTCAGCCTTGTGTCCTTTAGTGGCACCCGAGTGTGTCAACCTTGGTCAGCTTAGTGGCACTGAGTGTGTCAACCTTGTCAGCTTAGTGGCACTCTGAGGTCAGCCTTGTGTCCGCTTAGTGGCACTGAGTGGTCAACCTTGTGTCAGCTTAGTGGCACCTGAGTGTGTCAACCTTGTGTCAGCTTAAGTGGCACTCCGAGTGTGTCAGCCTTTGTGTCCGCTTAGTGGCACCTGAGTGTGTCAACCTTGTGTCAGCTTAGTGGCACCTGAATGCAAGCTTTGTGTCAGTCCATTGGCACTCTGAATGTTCAACTTGGTCAGCTTAGTGGCAACCTGAATGTGTCAGCTTTGTGTCAGTCCATTGCACCTGAATGTCAACCTTGTGTCAGCTTAGTGGCACCTGAGTGCTTTATGTCAGCTTATACACCTGAGTGTGTCAACCTTGTGTCCGCTTAGTGGCACCTGATTGTCAGCTTTATGTCAGCTTAGTGACACCCAGTGTGTTATCCCTGTGTCAGTCTTGAGCCTTGTGTCAGCCTTTTGTCAGCTCGGTGTCATCCGTGTCTCATTATTGTGTCAGCCAGTCAGACCCGTGCCAGCCCGAAGCCAGTATTGTTTTTGCCAATGTCCCCAAAGTATGTCAGCGCAATGCCAGTCATGTGTCCCCTCATCACCAGCTCAGTGTCAGCCATGGACCCCCATGTGTCAGCTCAGTCAGCCACGGTCCTCACTGTGTCAGCTCAGTGTCAGCCATGTCCCCCCACTGTGTCAGCTCGGTGTCAGCCACGTGTCCCCACTGTATCAGCTCAGTGTCAGCCATGTGTCCCCTCACTGTGTCAGCTCGGTGTCAGTCATGTGCCCCCACCTGTATCAGCTCAGTGTCAGCCATGCGTCCCCACAGTGTCAGCCATGCGTCCCCTCACAGTGCTGCAGCCATCCTCTCACAGTGTCAGCCACGTGTCCCCACTGTATCAGCTCAGTGTCAGCCATGTCCCCCCACTGTGTCAGCTCAGTGTCAGCCATGCGTCCCTCCACAGTGTCAAATGCGTCCCCCACAGTGTCAGCCACGTGTCCCCCACTATCAGCTCAGTGTCAGCGTGTCCCCTCACTGTGTCAGCTCAGTCAGCCATGCGTCCCCTCACAGTGTCAGCCATGTGTCCCCTCACAGTGCCTGTGTCCCCACAGTTTCAGCCACGTGTCCCTCAATGTGTCAGCACCTGTTAATTCCCAAAATATAACCTGAGAGAGAGAGAGAGAGAATTTACATACAAATTTACAAACTGTGAGGCTCTCCCCTCCTCCCTTTCACACTCCCTCCTCTCTCCAACACGCCCTCCCTTCTCCACACCTCATCCTCAACCTTCCTCCGTCTCCCTTCCTCTTCCGTCTCATGTGATTGATTAGTTCAGACGAAAAGGTATAATCACCCCTCTCCCTCCTCCCCTCCTCCCCTCCTCCTCACCCTCACCCCTCTTCCTCTCCCCCTTAAATGCAGCTACAGGAGGAGGAGGAGGAGGAGGAGGAAGACGAAGAAGACAGGGGTTAGAGATGGAAAGGAAGGAGGAGGAAGGGGGTAAGGGGAAAGAGGAGGACAGGAAGAGGAAGGGGGAGGAAGGGGGAGGAATAATTTAACCCCCTGAGGACGATTAATAAAGTAATTATCACTTAGATTATAAAAATTCTAATTAATTAATATAAAATAATTTTCTTTGGGTTAATCTGAGAAACTTAGGTCAGTACGTCTCTCTCTCTCTCTCTCTCTCTCTCTCTCTCTCTCTCTCTCTCTCTCTCTGTCTCTCTTTCTCTCTCTCTCTCTCTCTCTCTCTCTCTGTCTCTCTCTCTCTGTCTCTCTCTCTCTCTCTCTCTCTCTCTCTCTCTCTCTCTCTCTCTCTCTGTCTCTCTCTCTCTCTTGTAATGTCATTTGTTTCATCACTGATTCTCAAATACCTTTCCATCCTTCATTGTTCTGGTGTAACCCTCCCCTCTCCTCCCTTCCTCCCCCTCCCCTCTCCTCCTGACCTCTCCTGGCCTCTCCTGACCCCTCGTTTCCTCCCTATGCCCCTCCTCACCCTCCCTTCACCCTTCATTGTTCCTCTCTTCCCTTCACTCCCCTTCCCTCCCCTTCCCTCCTCCCTATACTTCATGTCCACTCTCTTTCCCTCCTTCATTGACCCTCCTCACCTCCTCACCCTCCTTACCCCTCCTCACCCCTCCTCACCCCTCCACCCCTCCTTACCTCACACCCCTCCTTCCCTCCTTCATTGACCCTCCTCACCCCTCCATGCCCTCCTTCCTCCTTCCCATTTGACCTCCTCACCCCTCCTTACCCCCCCATACCCCTCTTCCTCCCTTCATTGACCCTCCTCACCCTCCCAGGCACTAGGAGGCACAGTGCCACTCTCTCCTGAAGGTCGGTGGCACCATGTGATGACACCTTATTATGCAACCTGGGGGGCATGGGCGGGGCGTGGGTAGGGGTGTGAGATTGGCAGGAGCGTGGGCAGGGGTGGAGGACAGGTGAAGGATGGGTGGGGAAGCAGGCGAGGGTGGAGGAGGATGGCAGGTGAGGATGGGTGGGGAGCTGAGAGAAGAATTGGAGGATGGAGTAGAAGGTGGAAAGGTGGAGTGGGGGCGACCAGGTAGGAAAGGAAGTTGATATATTGGAGGCGTGAGGGTCAGGATATTAGGGTAATGGGTGGAGTGTTTAATGAGAGTGGTTGGGTGGATGTGGGTGTAAGTGTGGAGTGTCTGAGAATGTGGGCGTGGCTTGGCGTATGGACCTGTGTAACGTCTGGAAGTGTAGCTCTAGGCATGGTGGCAGAAGAGAGAGAGAGAGAGAGAGAAACGCACCCTTGACCCACCTCACTCATATATCACTTTCTCTGACACACAACAATGGCGTAAAATTCACAAAGCTAAAAAAAAAAAAAAAAAATTATGTTCCTTTAAAAATCTAATATTATCAGTTTTTTTTCTTTTCAATTAAACTTTAAAAAAAAAATCTCCACATTTCTTTATTTTTTTTGTGTTTTTATTTATGATTCTTTGGTGTATAGTCTTTGGTATGTTTGTCCGCCATGTTGGATTGGTTAGGTTGGTTTAGGGTACGGGAATGAGATGTTCGATCAGGGTTTATATTATTTATCGTGTTTAATTTATCCCCTGAGAATATTAACCCCCTGAAAATTTTACCCCCTGAAAAATTTACCCCCTGAAAATATTACCCCCTGAATCATTTACCCCCTGAAATAATTACCCCCTGAAACATTTACCCCCTGAAACATTTACCCCTTGAAATATTTACCCTTTGAAAAAAATTCCCCCTGAAAATATTACTCCCTGAAAAATTTACCCCCTGAAATAATTACCCCCTGAAAAATTTACTCCCTGAAACAATTACCCCCTTTGTAGCTGTTAATAACCCTCTCTCTCTCTCACAGTCACCCGAGCACTCCGACCCCCCAGCGACCCTCACCTCACACTGTAGTTCCTTCACTTCCCTCCACTAATAAACTATTTCTTATATTACTTAAGTAGCTTAGTAGTAGTTACTTATTTACTTAATACTACTTCTACTACCATCACCACAACAACAACAACCACCACCGTCATACTACAACTACCAATCACCACCACCAATCACCACCACCAATCACCACCACCAATCACCACCACCAATCACCACCAGCATGAACACCTCTATCGTCTTGGTAGCAGCGGCCGTCACCCTCTTACTCCTGACGGGGATGACGGAGGCGAGAATGGGGTGGGTCTTTACTTCAGGTTACGAGACCATTACGGGACAGGTGGTACAGTCGTTTACCTGCGAGGGACGCCCCTACGGATATTACGCCGACGTGGACAACGCCTGCAGGGTCTTCCACATTTGTCTTCCCATTCCTGACGATTTGGGCCAGGTGAGTCCGTGGGATTTTACCTGTCTGTCTATCTGTCTGTCTGTCTGTCTGTCTGTCTGTCTGTCTGTCTGTCTGTATCTGTTTGTCTATTTATCAACCTGCTTATGTGTGTGTGTGTGTGTGTGTGTGTGTGTGTGTGTGTGTGTATTTGTCAGTATGTGTGTGTCTGTGTGTGTCTGTCTGTCTTTATATCTGTCTGTCGTTCTGTCTATCTGTGTGTGTGTCTGTGCATCTGTCTATCAACCCGTCTATTTGTCTATGTGTGTCTGTCTTTTATTTATTTGTTAGTCTATCTATTAACCTGTCAATCTGTCTCTGTCTAAATATCTATCACTGTCTGTCTGTCTGTCTGTCTGTCTGTCTGTCTGTCTGTCAACAAGGTGTGGTCGTGGGAATACTAATATTAGCTCCCTGGAGTTACACGCTTCGCTGACTCCCTTTCACCAGGAGAAGCATTATGGAGGACAGTGACCTACCACAGACAGTACCTGGAGGACAGTGACCTACCACAGACAGTACCTGGAGGACAGTGACCTACCACAGACAGTACCTGGAGGACAGTGACCTACCACAGACAGTACCTGGAGGACAGTGACCTACCACAGACAGTACCTGGAGGACAGTGACCTACCACAGACAGTACCTGGAGGACAGTGACCTACCACAGACAGTACCTGGAGGACAGTGACCTACCACAGACAGTACCTGGAGGACAGTGACCTACCACAGACAGTACCTGGAGGACAGTGACCTACCACAGACAGTACCTGGAGGACAGTGACCCACCCCCTCCTTCTCTCCTTCCTTTTCTCCTTCCCTCCTCCTTCCTCCCCTCTCTCTCTCTCCTCCTCCCTACTCTCCACTTTCCTTTCCCTCCCGCTTCCTCCTTTCTCTCTCTCTCCTCCTCCCTACTCTCCACTTTCCTTTCCCTCCCGCTTCCTCCTTTCTCCTTCCTTCCCCTCCCTCTTCCTTCCCTCCTTCCCTCCTCTTCCTTCCCTCCTTCCTCACCCTTCACCTCCTTCCCTCCCTCTTCCCTCCTCTTCCACGCTAATAAAAAGGTAAAAAATGTAAAAAATAAATAAATAAAACAAATCAACCAAAAAAAGTCTTCCTGAAATATGCAGGTTAACATAGAAACAGGGCGCAGATGAGGTGACTTGAGGAGATGGGGAGGAGGAGTGATGGGGAGGAGGAGGAGGGAGTGATGAGGAGGAGGGGAGGGGGTGATGGGGAGGAGGAGGAGGGGGGGAGGGGGATGGTGGTTGGTGAAGGACGGAATGGAGGAAGAGGAGAGAGAGAGAAATGAAGGTTAGGATGGAGAGTAGTAGGTAAGGGAGGGAATGGATGGGAGTAAGAGGAGAGTTAATGAGACGAGGAGAGGGAAGAGAGGAAGAGGAGCGGGAGGAGAAAGGGAGTGGGAGGGAGGAAAGAAGACGAAGAGAGGAAGAGGGAAGGAGACAATGAGAGGAGTGGGAGAGTAGGAGGAGGAAGAGGAGGAGGTCAGAGGTCATCACGCCAGGTTGCCTTGGGATATGATTCACTATGACCAGGTAACACCGTTCTTACCTGTGTCGGAGACTGAGTACCAATAACTACCTGTGAGAGAAGAGAGAGATTACAGAGAGTGCTCCTCACCTTCTTCTCTCCCCTTTACACCTATGAAAGGAGGGGGAGGGAGGGGGAGGGAGGGGGAGGGTTAGAGACCTTCACCCCCCACCCCCATTTCTTCTTTATCATCATTAATACCAGTGACTCCTCAAGGTTGTTTATGCTATTGAACCTCCTCACCTTCTCCTCCTCCTCCTCTTCTCCTCCTCCTCCTCCTCCTCCTCCTCCTCCTCCTCCTCCTCCTCCTCCTTCTATCACCCTTAGACCTTCACTCTAAGCTGCACTTATCCCGCATTGACCCTTGGGATTTAGAACATGAATTTTCAACGTGTGTGTGTGTGTGTGTGTGTGTGTGTGTGTGTGTATTGAATTCGTATATTCGTCTGTATTCGTCTGTATTATCATTTTTAACTAATACCTTCGTCTTTCCTGTTCCTTCATCGCCTTCTGCAGATCATCGAGACAGCCCACTTCTCGTTCATCTGCGGTAACCAGACCATCTTCGACCAGGAGACTCTCACGTGCAACCACCCAGCCTACGCCTTCCCCTGCGACCAAGCTGAGTCCCTCTATGACTCCCGGAACGCCCTCTTTGGCCGCATCGACGAGGAGTTCTAAAGTCCTTTCTGAGTCCTAATGGGAAATCCTAGGACCTCCTGAGTATTCCTAGCACCTCCTGAGTATTCCTAGGATCTCCTGAGTATTCCTGACGCTTCCTGGGGGGGGGGGTGTTCCTGAGGGTTCCTGAACATTCCTGGGGCTTCCTAGGACCTGTTGTACATTCCTAGAAGTTCAAGGTCCTTTTCCAAGTCCCAGGTCCTCCTCCAAGTCCCAGGTCCTCCTTCAAGTCCCAGGTCCTCCTTCAAACACCCAGGTCCTCCTCCAAACACCCAGGTTGACCCTAGAATTCCAGCCAACAATGGAATGCCCTTCAAGTTCTACCTTAAACCGAAAAAGTCTCCTCAAGTTCTAGCAACGTCGAAGAATAGTTCTAGAACCTCCTACTCCCCTTCCAACAAGTTCTACTCCCTCACTCCAGCAAATTCACCTCCCACACTCCAACCACTCCACCTTTCCCACCTCCAACAAGTTCTAACGCACGATGGAACTTCCTACGAACTCTCCAATTACTTTACACATATATTTTTTAAAACTTTTTGTACATATAAGATAAAAAAAAACCGACGAATTACACCCCCCCCCTCTACCCCCACCCCCATCTCCCCCACCCCCCTCTCCCCCACCACCCTGCCCACATCTCAAATAGGAGGAAATGGGACAGGTATATACCCCTATTGTGTAAGGTATACCTGTAAACCCATTAATTAGAATAGATTTACCTTTTTCATTCCGATTCTATTTGTATATTTGTTAACTTACTCAGATACAATAGGTCTAGTTTCCTGAAATTAGTATATATGTATGTGTGAGGGAATAGGCCTATCTTCCTCCAATTTGCATATGTGACAGAATAGGCCTATGTGTTCATTCTCCCTATATGTCTATTCTATACATTCAAACGTAATAAATATACTTTCCTCTATTATGTGTATATTCGTGTATGTCTAATCTCTTCCATCGTATGTATTGTGTATATTTGTAAACTCATTGTGATAGGTATATTTTGAGGTATATTTTGAGGTATATTTTGAGGTATATTTTGAGGTATATTTTGAGGTATATTTTGAGGTATATTTTGAGGTATATTTTAAGAGTATGCCTATATATCTCCTCTCCTATTCCGTGTGTATATTTGTAATCCATTTAGGTATATACAACAAGCCGGTGGGGATGTGGTTTTAGCAAGAATATTTGATAAGAATATTTTACCATTATTATTATTATTTTTTATTATTATTATTATTTTGAAGTATTTTTTTTAACTGCAAATAAAAAAAATGAAGGACCAGATATTATTTTATTCTTAAGGAAATTCCGGATTGTGGAGGTCAGGTCAGGTCAGGTTAGGTTAGGTTAAGGTATGAGGTGGCTGAGTGTATATAAGACTCATTTCTCGTCCTAAGGGTCATTGGTTCGATCCCAGTTGTGGATGAGTTAATAATTTTGTCTTGTATCATCTTATCTCCCCTTTACCTCTCACCCCCCCTTTACCCCTCACCCTTTACCTCTCACCTCCCCTTTACCCCTCACCCTTTACCTCTCACCCCCCTTTACCCCTCCCTCTCATCTCTCACCCCCCCACTTTTTACCCCCCTTCACCCCCGCCTCCCCTCCCTAAGCCTCGAACCCCAAGTCCCCAATAACATTAAACGGTACAATACCCGGTGAGCCAGAGAGAAAGAAAGAAAGAAAGAAAGAAAGAAAGAAAGAAAGAAAGAATTAAGGAGAGACCAATATTTCCTCTCTCTCTTTCTGGTGGAATTGAAATTGGGGGGGTGGGGAAGGGTGTTCTCTATCATTCTCTCTCACTTTTCTCTGTGCTCTATCTCTTACACTGTGTCTCATTTTACACAATATTTTAACGTAAGTAAGTTAGCATTGTGAGAGTCAACATTTACAAAACACAGATCAACATTGCACTGACCGATCATCACTTGACTTGTGTATACGACCCCCCTGCAACACTGGGTCACACAACAGCCATGACATATCAACTTCTGCAATGTCACACCTCCGGTCATCTGCAACGATGGGTAAACGCAATGACATCAACAAGTTAGTAATGATCGTAGTGCAACGTCAGCAGAGGTGATTACAGCAGAATTATTAATACCTATTGCTGGAGGTGTGTGGTGGTGTGGCGGTGTGGTGTGGTGTGGTGTGGAGTATTGGGTGGTGTGGGCGGTGTGGAGTGGTGTGGAGTGGTGTGGGCAGTGCGTGGTGTGGTGTGGTGTGGGTGGTGTGGGCCGGTGTGAATTAGTGTGGGTGATCCTTCAAGAGCAAGGAGAGATGACCAAGGCCTCAGATGTGTGTGTGGAGAGAGAGAGAGAGAGAGATAAATGTTTCACGTTTTCAGGAACAAATCAAGATGGAAGTAACTTGGGGCCCAGTCTCAATAGGCCCCAATACTAGTAGACCCCAGTTCTAATAGACCCCAGTACCAGTAGACCCCAGTACTAGCAGGCCCCAGTCTCAATAGGCCCCAGAGCTAGTGGGTCCATTTGAATGTTTTAGGTGACGAGAAAATACCGTAGAGTTATGTGATGAGATTATACAGTGTAGTGAAGAGAGTGGTACCTCTCTCTCTCTCTCTCTCTCTCTCTCTCTCTCTCTCTCTCTCTCTCTCTCTCTCTCTCTCTCTCTCTCTCTCTCTCTCTCTCTCTCTCTGTTATTTTTATTATTCCTTCATTTCCTTAGTTTCTTCTTCGTCTTCTTATTCTCATTTTGCCTGTGTCTTTAATTCCCTCTCACCCTTCCCCATTCCCTCACCTCCCCTTTCATCCTCTCCCACTCCCTCTCTCACCACCCCTTTTACCCCTCTCCAATTCCCTCTCATCCCTCCCCCACTCCCTCTCATCCCTTCTGAGAATCCACCTCTGTGTCTTAACTTACGTGAGTCAGGTAAGATAAGTTTTTACACCATCAGTTACGAGAAATAATTTGACGTAAAAACCTTTGAAATTCCTGACATTGACACCTGTGACCCTATTGGCTGTGGCGTCATGATGATCTAATGACGTCATGATGATCTAATGACGTCATGATGGGTTGATTACGTCACGGTGGGCTGATGATGACTGTGTTGAGGTCTGTCCACTGTGTGTGTGTCTGTGTGTGTTTTTGTACTCTTGGCTTCCACTAAATATGAATAAATCTACTTTACATTGACGTAATTAAATATAAAAATAAATCCAATCACAGTTACGTAAATTAAGCGAAATAAATCCAAAAATCTAGGGACTGTATAAACGCCAGAATCTCAAATTTATTAGGAAAAAAGGACAAAACAAAAGACTATCACAGTACTAAAAGGTTCAATCATCTATAAAAATTCCTGTAAATAATCACACAATGAGTTCGAATCCTTTAGTTATTGTTATGGTGAGAAAATTACTTGGGTTTCGAATCCTCTTCGACGTATAAGAAACAAAAGAAGGTTAACATCCCTCTAGATGAGTATAAATGACAGAACCGCTAGTCTAACACCCCCGCCAAAGAAAAAAATATATATAAATGCCACAATATCATACAACTCGTGGGTATAATCTTCTATTTAATAACAAAGAGAAGAATACAAGGGGGTTGGAATCCTTTCCCGACAGACATACACACAGCACGCCGTATCCTGTTGACCTCCTGTTGGGATAAAACACAGCTAGGACGCCACAGGAAGACGCCACTGAGACGACCTTGGGGGAGGGCGGAGAGGGGGGAGGGAAGGGGGAAGGAGGAGGGGGAGGAGGGGGAGAGAGAATGAGGGAAGGGGGAGGGAGGGAGAGGGGAGGGGGAGGGAAGGGGAGGGGTGGGGGGCGAGTTGAGGATGCGACAGTTTTTACCTCACTCGCCTAACCACTAACACGAGGGTCTTGTCATCCAGGAGTCGAAATGTGAAGGTTGTTGGCAGGCCGCTATGTGTAGGATGGTTGTCAGATGTTACAGGATGTGTAGGTCATGTATAGGATATGCAGGTTAGAACAACAGAACAGGTCGCTATGTACAGGTTCATACAGGTTATTGATATTAGTATCGGTGCAGTTCTGGTTACAGGTATATGTACAAGGCAGGAGAACGAATACAGGTACAGGTAAGGGTGAGGGAACAGGTAAGGGTGAGGGAACAGGTAAGGGTGAGGGAACAGGTAAGGGTGGGAACAGGTACAGGTAAGGGTGAGGGAACAGGTAAGGGTGAGGGTACAGGTAAGGGGTGAGGGAACAGGTACAGGTAAGGGGTGAGGGAACAGGTACAGGTGAGGGAACAGGAACAGGTAAGGGTGAGGGTACAGGTAAGGGGTGAGGGAACAGGTACAGGTAAGGGTGAGGGAACAGGTACAGGTAGAATTATAGTTACAAATACAGGTACGTGTATAATCACTTAGCACCTGGCCCCAACACAACAACCACACCCTGAGTTAACGAGTTGCATGACCCAGTGTTAAAGAATAGTCCGAGAAGACCGGACAACTCGCCAACTGCACTGGCTAACCATTACCCCGGAACACGATCCACAAATCGATTAACATCCAGGTCCCCAATTACTGCTGGGTAGACAGAGGCAAATGGCGTAAAGAAACTTGCCCATATTTCACCCTGCCTGGGGATAGAACCCAGGTCCTCTCACTTGCGAGGCGAACATGCTGACCATTACACCACAGGTACAGACACAGGTAAGAGGTCAGGTGAAAGGTTTTGACCTACGAAGGGAGAAGGGAAGGTCACCATAGGTCACGATCCTTACTTGATGGAGTAATTGGGAGGGAGGGAAGGCGGGAGGGGTAGGGAGGAAAGCCACTAAGGGAGAGCTACTAAGGGAGAATAAAGGGGGGAGATAGTAAAGGGTGTACCGTCAAACTTTCACTCAATGCCCTCTCTCCCTTTAACGGTATGCAAATGAGGAGACGTAACCCCGTGTGTGTGTGTGTGTGTGTGTGTGTGTGTGTGTGTGTGTGTGTGTGTGTGTGCTATCTTTTGTCTCTCACCTCTCATCAATCACCTCTCATTATCTCACTTCTTTCCCTCCCTGTTTCCGTATTCGAGGGAAAAAAAGAAGAAGGAAGAAATTATGATAAATTACAAGGTTAAGGAAAATGGATCAGTAATTACAGAAACAACAAGAAAGAGGGAGTGATAAAGATGAATTAAGGAGGAAATGGTGATGAAGAAGGAAGAAGGAAAATAATAAGAAGGAAGAAAATGAAAATCGTGAATAATTACCTTGGGTGTTGAGAGAGGGTGATAAGTAAAGGCAGGTAGGTAGGTAGGTAGGTAGGTAGGTAGGTAGGTAGGTAGGTAGGTAGGTAGGTAGGTACAGGTAGATACAGGTATAATCACAAGTACAGGTACAGGTAGAGGTTCCAGGTTACATAAACCAGAGATATATGAGAGAGGGTTAGATCACAGGTAAACAGTGTTAATTAGCAGGTCAACAACAACAGGTGTTACTGAGGTGGTCACTTCACACCTGAGTCTCTCTCTCTCTCTCTCTCTCTCTCTCTCTCTCTCTCTCTCTCTCTCTCTCTCTCTCTCTCTCTCTCTGTGTCTGTCTTTCTATTTCTCACTTTTAGAGAGAGAGAGAGAGAGAGAGAGAGAGAGAGA